GCTTACCTTCGACATTAAATGAATTGAAAATTTTGAACGCAATAGTTCTCTTACATTTCAAAGCTTCATGAACTGATATGAAAATCGCTTGAAGCACGAAAAGTGACAATAACCTTGCAGTGTTGATTTCTATTCCATACTGTCTATACCTACAAACGTTCTGTCTCCGATATTGAACACTTTTTCCACATACATATAGCACATTTAAAAAAGCATTATATACATATACATATATATATATATGTGTGTGTGTGTGTGTTTATGGATTATCACCCTTTTGGGGATATTTAAAGCGGAAAAATATTTTATATTGTAAGAATAATTCTTTTGTTTTCTTTATGAGTGACTACTGCATTAACAATTTTCGGAGACTAACAATGATATAAGCCTTACTATTTAACCCATAGCTGGAGAAAGCGATGGATTCATACCTTTCCCAAGGGTATTTGCTCGTAATTGAATGTAACGAATTCGATTCGAATTCGAACTGGGCTTTCCAATTTCTCATTCCGAACCGCTATCGATTGCACCGCGCGGGTGGAATGCGAGTGATTAATAGGGATAGTTTGTGAAGAGAAAATAATCAAGATGCTAAAATTCCGCACTTCTTCAAATAAAAGGTTAGGAAGACCCCCGACCCCCATCAATACCAGAAAGAGCGATAACAGCTACTGGACTTGAGAAACCTGTTTTCCTGAGAAAATTACAACCGAAAACATTATTAGATGCTCTGTCAAAGAATGCCAAATGTTTCCTTGTAGGGAAACGGCTAATGTGCATGTGGTGTAACGTTTATAGATGCAGAATGTGAAATCGACGAGCCGAGTTCAAATTCTCACCGAGACTGTTTCGGTCACTTCGTATTAATATCGGTGGGTAATGTGTGAATGCATCTTCTTCCAGCTTAGGATCGGAATACTTGGCCGAAAGTCGGGAAGATTTGGCTCTTTTGCCTGAGTTGGAGAAAGTAAATATGAATTTAAATATATATCCAATATAATAGGGCGAAATGAGGTTTTTAAGCCTGTTACGGTAACCAGTCTTAGAAAAAGGCAACTCTGAATTCAAAATCGTCCAAGAAACGGACGTGGTCCGTCCATCTTGTGCGAGACACACTAAAGGAACATTCAGGAGTTTAACAATCCGAATTGAGTACGGGATTCATGATCGCCATGGCTGAATGTGTTATGTTAATGAATTTCATTTCCAAAGCAACGTCTCCTCTGACTGGAAGTCTATAGTTCTAAGCAAACATAATCAATTCATTTTTTTAATTTTTTTTTTTTTTTTACGAATATTAAAAACCGTCAAAGTTTGATCCGGATTACTATGGCTCCGAGAAGAATATAAAAAAAAATCCTTAAAATCGATTTGTGCTTGCCTGCTATCTATTTACAATTAAATTAACGTACAGTGTATCTTCTAATGTTTTGGCTTTTAATCGTTTTCATAATCGCTATTCAATATCAAGAACATTAGTATTATGTTAAAAGTGAGAAAAATTGGTATTGCATTAATCCTGGCATGTATAGACACATTATAATCTTAATCTTAAAATGAACGTGTTAATCTAAGTGACGGCATGTTAAAACAGTTTGGGGTCACTGCGACTCAGGAACAAGGTATTATTCTTATTACTGTAAATTTAATTTTAATTACATTTTAAAATGACTTCCAGAATAACAAAAGTTGTATATATATATATATATATATATATATGTGTGTGTGTGTGTGTGTGTATGTGAGTGTGTGTGTGTGTGTGTGTGTGTATTAATCGGTTGGCTAATATAGAATTCAAATCGAAATTAAATCTACTGAGCAAATTGAACTGTCTTTGTAAAAGACTAAATTGTCTTTGATTGATTTTTCATACTTTTTTGCAGAAGCAGTCCAATAACATTCTATCTATCTATCTATCTATCTATCTATCTATATATATATATATATATATATATATATATATATATATATATATATATATAATAAAAAGGCTTAAACACTACTATTCCATTGTCATAATTTATTCCATTGGAATCGTAATGATCCAATTCATCAGACCTACAAATTCAAAAATAATTTAGATATATGATTGCATATGTGTATATTTGCCACTAATATTATCTATCTATCTATCTATCTATCTATCTATCTATATATATATATATATATATATATATATATATATATATATATATATATAACTTTGAATCTGTCAAGGTCTCTTAATATATGTATCCATCTATCTGTTTATCGATCTATCACAGTCTCTATGTATCTATCTTTCATCTATCTCTCTATCACAGTCTCGTAATACCTATCCATCTATCAAAGTCTCTTTATATATATATATATATATATATATATATATATATATATATATAGAGAGAGAGAGAGCGAGTGAGAGATAGATAGATAGATAGATAGATAGATAGATAGATAGATAGATAGATTATTCTGTTCATATCCATTTAGCTAAAACGCTATCTCAGTCTGTTCACATCTATCTGTTTACCAATATATCACACATGTGTTCACTATTTTTATATATTTAATTATATATAGATAGTTGTAGCTGTAACACAATACATCGTACCAAAGTTTTAAAGAAATAAAATAATCTATATATTGTATTTTCTCCGTTAGAAACGCAACTTATTTAAGCATAAAAACAGGCAAGACGCGCTGAAGCTTTCTTTATATGACAAAGTTTGAGTGCAGTGCAACGAGTTCTTCTGAGAACTTAGCTAAATATTATGGATTATTGAGGTTAAACTTCATTAATCTGAAACCCCTACAGTTGCCAAACTATCGAAATTTGGATTAGAGAGCTCAACTGTAAATAAACACACTATCACAGAGACAGGTACATAAATTCAGATTAATATATATTTTATTTTAATCTATGTGTGTAGTTCAGGATAGCTATTTTCCTTCTCTCACAAACGTGCATTTCTAATTAAATGAACTACAGACGAAAGAGTACTGGAGATTTCTTAACCTGACCTACTTTATTTTTTAATCGAGTTCACCCCATGCAAGGCAATAAAGCCACTAAGACACAAGAGGTTACTGGGTGTGGAAGAGTTAGAAAAAAAAACCTTGCCCAGGAACGAGACCAAAAGAAGAGTAAAAGGAAGGACAGTAAATAGCGATTGACATTGCAGTTAAATATTTGAAGATTAAAGATGGCTGGAATGCATGGCGCAGGAAGTGAGTTCCACAAGCGAGAAGTTCGAGAAAATAAACTTTTAGCATAGAATTTACGGTTAAACTCAAGTTTACATTGATGAAACCTCGTCGCTGGTCTAGTACTGCGATTAAATTTAAAGAGCCTAGGAACCATGTAGACGAGCGATATTTATTTGTAATTTATTTACCAAATGTGGCACAAGACCAAAATGGCGAATGGGGAAAAAGGACGGTCTTCTTCTGTCTTAATGTTAAACTTAGCTAGCCACAAACACTGACCCAAACATTCAACAATATTACTTACACCAAAACAAGGCATTCTTACTTACCGTTCTTACTACATCCACCATAATACTTCAATGTCTCTGTGAGAGTCCTAACTAAACCCCATATGTACAATACATTGTCTGTGGGGGAAAATCTACTAAGTTCACTTTCGCACTATGGCATTTGGAAAAAGCATAAATACATTTCTTCTCTCCATCCCTAATTATTTGTTAAATAGTAGGAAAAAAATTCGCTTTTTATCCTTGGCTTGCATCCAGTCTAAGAAAAGAATAAGGATAAAAAAAACATAACAAACAAAACGTGAATATGGAAACCACGATACTGTTGGATTCATGACAAGTCACATATAAAAAAAGGAATTTGTGAGGAGCCTTGATTGGCCGCGTCTTGAACTGATATTGTATTTAATGAAAATAATGGTGTTTATGAGTAAATAATGTATTAAATGAAAGTATACATACGTATTCTATTATGTTTAATACACACGCACACACACACATATATATATATATATATATATATATATATATATATATATATATATATATATATATATATATATATGAGAGTGAAAGGTCAAATACAGACCAAAAGCACAAATAGGAAACGTATATCATTCTAACATGTTTCACTTTTATTAAAGTTTCGTTAGAGATTTCGGGAAAACAGACAAAGAAACAGAAATACTTGTATTTTCAATTATATTTGGACCAGTTCTCATTGATCAGACACGTGTCACGTACATTAAAACTGTAGATGATTCTATGTGTATGTAGTTCGTAAAGATTTTTGTATGTCAAAGCGGGCATCGGATGGTAATGTGTCTTCGTAATTTTGTGTCTGTCTGTCTAGTGGAAGTTCTGATGTCTTCACCTTTGTGAGATTAGCATTCGCAGCGGGTTCTAATTTAAAGCTGACCTCTTTAGGCATGTATTCTTTGTCATGTAATGCCTTAGGCGTGCGTTTATACATGGTAATAATATTTTCGATGCAAAACGTGAGAGTTAAATCGTTTTTCCAAACGCAAGTCTCTCCTGTGTTCATAGATGCGGAGCTTTAGATCATGTGATGTCTCCACTACATTTTTGCATTATAAACATTTTATTTCATAAATACCGGCATCTGAATTGGTGTTGGGTTCATTTTTCATCCTAATTATATCTGCAATTGTTTTTGATGTAGTGGTATTTATCCTAGTATTAGGGATGACTAATTTGTTCGCGACTTTAGTAGAAAGAGTTTTTTTGAGAAGGGCAGGATTATGAATTTTATGTAATATTTGCAAGAAGAGTTATTGGTGGTGTCTGTTTATTTGGCTTTGGGGATTTTGTAACTTCGTTTTTTTTTTGCGCTGAGGATGAAATTGAGGAAGGGAAATTTGAAACTTTTCTCAAAACAAAATGATCTTCATACCTTTTCCCAAGGGTATTTGCACGTAAGTGAATATAACAAACCCTACAGGAATTGAAACTTGGCTTTCCAATTAACAATTCTGAGCCATTACCCTACCCACACATCCAATCTTACAGCACCTGTTATTCCCAAGCGGTTACCCATCTAGGTACTGACCAAGCTCGATGTTGCTTAACTTCAGTGATTGTACGGGAAATATATATACGGACGAGTATACAGTAAATTCAAAGTTTTACTGAATAAACTGCACAATGGTCAATTCCCTTAGTTGCACACTGTCGCCATCATAGTGCCATGTCCTGTACTGGAGCACTGAGTACGACATGTCAGATTATCTACAATCGGAAGTAGTTTTTAATAAGATTTTTCCATCGCAGAGCTAAAACACTGCTCACCCACTAGCCCATTCGGCATTTACAAACACTTTTTAAATCTGTTTTGAAATTAAATACACAGACATTTCTTTTCCTAAACTAGTTAACAACTTGAAAAAATGCTATTAAAAATACTTGCGATTGTAGCATAATTTGACATGTGGCACAAAGTACACGAGTACAGGTCATGATAATATGCTGCTGTTCAGTTTATAGAAATTACTGAACCCTCATCCGTCAAGAGAATCCACACACAAGAACGTGAACAAAACCCAGACCGATGAAGTCCTAACGGATGATACTGGTCACAAACTTTTTCCTCTTTGTTATATATATATATATATATATATATATATATATATATATATATATATATATATATGCACATTTCATTGAATACAACAGACAGGGTACTTTGATTTATACAATTTCTCATGCGATCTAATTTTTTTTTCTTTTCAGGGTATAAATTATGTAAAATCTGTCCGAATGTTCTTTTATTCTTGATCAATCAAAATTCGTAAATAATTACATAGGCCATACTACAACGTGTCTGACACGAAGACTCACTCTACACCTTTCTGATCATAGCTCAATTAGATCTCATTCATGGAGACCTACCGGAAACTTTTCGTAACATACTTGTTAACAACAGAAATATAATAGCATCATCTACATGCAAAAAAGCCTAAAAATAATGGAATCCTTATTAATAAAAGAAAAAAAAAAAAAAAACATTTAATAATAACTATGACCAGGGACACAATATCTTGACCGTGTCTTGAAAAAATGAAATCATTATATAAATATATACATACAACAAACTATTTCTTATTTAACAGTTAAAATATTTCATCCTTGAAAATGGCTAAATGTATAGCCGAAAGCGCTCGGAATAAAAGAACATTCGGATAGTTTTTATATAATTTATCATCTGAAAAGAAAAACATTATTAAATCGAATGAGAAATTGAATAAAAAATCTAAATCAAAGCACCTTGTTTATCGTATTCAATGAAATGTGCATGAAAGAAGGATTGCTGCCTAAATGTACACACACACATACACATATATATATATATATATATATATATATATATATATATATATATATATATATATATATATAACTTTAAACTTTATTTTTACTAGATATTAAAAGGTCTCATTATTTTAAACAGTATTTTATTACGTCTACTGGCGGGAACATTCTAGAAATCTAATGAAAGAAGAATAAGATTGCTCGAATATTCAGGCCGGTAGACGAATTAAAATTTCAGTGATGCGTCTGTTTAATGATTTGTAATATATTTTCAGTGTAACTAAAAACTGAGTTTTAGAGTCTTTCTGTTCTATACTTTGTGCATTTTGCTTGATTTTAGGAAGTTTTTGTCGATGTATCTAATGAATATTTTATCTTTTTTGTTGTTTTTTTGCTGCTTTTTTATTGTAACTTTGTTAAAACTACATAATGTCACTTTTTATGTTTTTTTTTTTTTTTGAGTACCTGGAGTGAATGTTAATTTTGCCGAATAACCGCCGTTCTTTAGTGTTTTCCATAATCGTTTTTGGCTTCGTGAAAACTTTTCGTCAGACATTTTGTCAGATAATCTGCGGTTGATCTTGCTTGATTATGGTAAGTGGATGTTTGCAAGAGTTATGTACGTAAAGTGGGCTGTCGTTCGAATTGCTCAATGGTTGATATATACCTTTTTGACGATTGAAAGAATGGGGGAAATCTACTTATTTCATGCGTGTTTTAAGTCGATTTTCAATCCGATTTCTTTACAAATCATTTGTAATTTTTATTTTATTTTATCATTCTTTCTCTGTTGCAGCAACTTAGGATTCCTATCCAGGTTTGTAGGATTTTTCTTACTATGGTGATGACATAGGTATTCATAGTTGGTGTAATAATGCTCTTTAACAAAAGAAAATGGAAAACGACACCAACTGTTTCAAAAAAATAGGACTCAAGATAAATCCCAAACAAAAATTATGATATGAAAATCTAAAAACAGAAACTATGATATGAAAATCCAAAACAGAAACTATGATATGATAAATCCAAAACAGAAACTATTATATGAAATTAGAATGATAATAGTGATGACACATACCCTGAATCCATGATAAAAATTCAGGATGTGAAATTAGTAAATACTCAACACCTCAAGCTTGCAACTTTTCATCTGTGGGAAAGGCGTTGTAGGGTGGAAAATAAGCTAAAGTAGATATTTCCTCAGCGTATTTCTGTATAGCACAGAAATTAAGATGTGGAAAAAATAGCTGCAAATATAGAACACCTCGTAGGGAATTAATGGTTAGGATTTCGATCATCAGCGGCTCATATTTTTCGATAGTGTTTATTTAAATCGAGTTCACCCTATCCAAGGCAGTAAAGCTCCTAAGATACAAGTGGTTACCGAATGCGGAAGAATTAGAAACAGAAACATTACCAAGGAAACGAAAGAAGAATAATCAGGAGGATAGATAATGATTGACATTGCATTTAAATTTCTGAAGATTAAAGGAGGCTGAATAGCATAGAGGGTGTTTCCACAAGCGAGAAAAGAAACTGTTAGCATAGAATTTACGTTTACATCTAGGCAATTCAACTGTAAACTGTTAAGATCTTGTTGACGGTCTAGTACAGCACTTAAGTTCAAAGAGTCTAGTCCCTATAGCGAAGAGCGATATTTATTCTGCTTAATACAGAAATGTGGCACAAGGCCAAAAAGGGGATTGGGGAAAGGACGGTCTTCTTCTGTCTTAACTATAACTTAGCTAGCCGCAAGCACTGACCCAATCGTACGAAACAATATTCCTTACACCAAAACAACACATTCATTCGTACCTTTCTTACTACAACCACCATAATACCTCTTTGTCTCTATGAAAATACTAACTAGTCCCCATATTTACAATTCGTACTTTGGGGGGGGGGAATAAAACAACAATTCTAAAAGTTAACCCCAATGAGTATTTACAATATGCATACAAAAAACTATTTACAAGAAACTAAAGAAAATCAGATTAGTAATAACCCCCCACACACACAATTACTAAAATGTGACAGTAACATCACTTCACTGGCCGAAATCAATGCGGGACTATAATAGTATAAAACATTCATTCATCCCAATCACTCACACTGACATGCACTCATTCAGACACAACAACAAATACGAAAAATGCCACTCACGCGAAAACGAAAGGCGCCCCGCATCCACCAGCGAACTGACATCACTGACCACCTAACGAGATGGGGAATTAAACTTAAAGAAAAGTAGGGGCAGAAATAAAAGGGGGTCCCTATAGCGAAGAGCTCATCCGAACAATTACAATGAAAATATTTATAGAAAAGCTACAGGGAAGCAACCTTACTGCCATGGGAAAGTAACGCCAGATCAAGACCAATAATATTGCTGATTCTTCTTTGGATTTTATCAAAGAGATCTAGATAAATAGCATGAACGCCGGACCTTATGTGGCAACAGACCGAAACAGGGTATACTTCTTGTTAGTTATACGCACCTCACTAAATGAACTGTTACCGTAAGAGACACGGGAGGTGCCTAGTAGGCAGTGACGGTTCGAGGAAAATCATTAGTTCTTATGAAAGTCAGCTACCGATAGTAAGCTATGAAAGTTATTGGGTTAATGAATCAGGTAAATATGTGTATCCTAGCACGTGCGAACATGCGCCAACTTCCATTTTGCTTAAGATATGAAACATTCGTTGTCGAGCAGTAGAGAAATTTGTACGTGTTCATATGCAGTTGGACGGAAATAAGTGAAAGCTATCTGAAGCATATGGTTAAAATCATGTTTTGTGTGCATTTTTTTTTTAAAGTTCTTGAGAAACGTTATCCTTTTCATAAATTTCTTGAAGTGAACACGCTATGGAGAAATCGCTGTGTGTTTTTAGTGGCGCGGATGTTTTAAAGAAAAACGAATATATGTGCGCAGTGACAGCGGCCGAAAATGCAAAGTTCAGATATAAATATGCGAAACTTGGAGAAGAGAATATGAATCGGGACAACTTAGCGGCAGGTTTTAATGAAATACAGGGAATGAGCGAAATTTACTCGGAATCTTGACTCTTGGCAGAAACAATGTCGGTTTATAGTTTCAACTGATCTTTGGTTTTTTGGTTTTTTTTTTTTTAAGCATTTCACCCCAAGCAAGGCGGGAAGCCACTAGGACGCAAGGGGTTACAGAAAATAGGAAGATCAGATAGGAGTGATAGAAGATAGGATGAGGGTAGTAGATAGATTAAGGCAACTGGAGATGTCGATTGACATTACACTTGAATAGCTGGAGATTATAACTCTCAGCGAAACAGGAGAAGGGAAGAGAGTTCCACAGGCGATAGGTGCGAGACATGAAGCTATTAGAGTAGAAGAGACGGCTACATTTAGGAGTTTCGACAGTGAAGGGGTGAAAGCGGGATGCCAGCCTCGTAGGGCGCTTGAACTCATGAAGTTTGGGAACCAGCGAATGCAGTTCCTCGGAGCAATTTCCATGAAAGTATTTGTAGAACAGACAGAGGGAGGTATAATACAGAAAGGTTTCATGTGTGATAACCTTTACCGGAGAAGAAACGTGATGTTCCCAATACGATTTGCTGACAACGCTGACATCCAGTAACACCTCTTCTATATATTCTTGTCCGTTCAGGACGTATGCAATCATGGCTCTCCACAACTTCTCCCTTGTAGCTCTTAATAAACTTTGTCTTTCTGTTATTCCGTCTAAACCCTGTTCCGTTTACGCAAGATCACTAAGTATGTTATGCTTGGTTTTCCTTTTACCCTCTATCTGTCCCGGGAGTATCAGATTTTCCTCAAGATTCGCGCCAGATACCTTTTCCTGTTAAGTATAAGTTACCTTTTTGTTTCCATTTCGCTAAAATATTCGTTGTTTCTCACATGTTCGGTCCATGGTATCCTCAGCATCTTTCTGTATAGCCACATATTTGTTGATTCAAGTCTCTTCTTCATCTTTGGGGAGATTGTTCAGCACTCACTGCCATTCAGAAGGACAGATATCACGTAATAGTTTAATACTCTTTTCGTTGTTTTTAGTCAAGGCATTCTATTTCATATTACTCTGCTTAGCTTTTTGGAATGCTTCCTTGGCCATCCCAATACGTCTTCGGATTTCAGTGCCACACTTTACTTCCTCTGTTAAATCACTTACAAAACATTTAAATTTCCGCACGTGTTTCATTTTGATATCTCCGATTTGCAATTTGCACTTTGGATTCATCCGTTCTGTCTTCTTGCAGTTGATTTTCTTTCCATTTTTTTCTCAAATCTTCGCCGTTGCTCACATGTTAGATCCATGGTATCCTTAGCATCTTTCTGTAGAACCACATATTTGTTGCATCTAGTCTCTTCTTCATTTTAGGGGAGACTCACTGACACACACGAGGACAGATATCCCGTAACGGTTTAGGACTATATTACTGAATTTTTTCCAGCAATGATATTATCGTCTCACCAAAATGCATAGCTTCACAATAGTCACCAGGTAAACAAATGTTGCTTTTCACAGGATCATTCCGAGAATTAAATTGTCATATCTCGTATAACAATTAAATATATTTATCCCTTGTTTTGATCATTTCAACTAAAGAAAAGCAATAAAGCCACGAAGATGGGTTACAGAATAGGAGGAAAAACACTATTAAAGAAAAAGATCAATAAAAGAACAAGAATTAAAATCACAGAAGATAACGATTGACATTGCATTTAAATTTTTGACATGAAAGCAAAAGGCGGAAGAGAGGTTCATAAGTGAGAAGTGTGATAGAAGAAACTGTTAGCATAGAAGTTATGGTTACGTCTCTTGCCATTTCAACTGCAAAATTGCCACCAATCTGGTACTGCGCTTAAATTCATAAAGTCTACGTACCATAGAGGGAAGTTCATCGGAACAATTACTTCTAAAAAAAATAAAATAAAATAAACACTAGTGGAACATAGCAATGGTGACTATGGACAGATAATATTTATTAAAAATTACCAACAAAGTATGTAAAAGTTACGTAGTTGACATTGTGGCACAAAAAAAAAAGAAAGTCGTGGAACACCAAGACAAACTAGTAAAGGGAAGCGTGCAGACTGACCATTATTTATAAAGACAGAAAATATCTCTATCAATAAAAGGCAGGATGTGTTTGTGTGTGTAACGAATGCACGGCCGCAATTTTTGACGGATTTGCATCAAAATTTACATGCACATGCTCCACGTTAGCGGGAAGGCCAAGACCGACTTTGCACTTCCCAACTCTCATTGATAATGGAAATAATCGATTTTTTCATGCTCCTACCGCACTTTTCATATAATTTGCGGCCATTTTGTACTGGCCAGAGTGAGACCCTATAGCTGGCTGCCACGAATAGACAGGAAGATTCTATTGGTCAGCGTGAGAGGCAACAGCTGACTGACACAAATGCTAACTAGCATGAAAAAAAAGTCGATAGCTGCATTCGTCACAAGTGGGAAAAATTGAAATCTGCATGGCACTTTACTCCAATTGGCTCATTCGCTTGCTTAAACTCAACGTTGATTCTGATTCCTCAGAACTGGGTTGTGTGTTAAAAAAGTATTTGTTGTTAACATTTTTTTTCATTCGGTTTTTCCAGTTACGAGTCCTTTTTTAAAGCTGATAGTTTTGTGTTCATTTTGTTTAGTTCTTTTTTCGTAACAGATTTAATGTTTAGTATAGAGCTTAGAAAAAATTCGCAGTGTGAGATAGGCAAGAAGTAATGTATATAGCAACATCAGCACGACAAAGGGCACTCCTTTAAAGGCAAGGAAAGGCAAAAATATTTTAAGCCAAGTGATAGCGATTGCTGTAAGAGTCCTACGATATTTGAATCAAGCAGGGGCAACGCCAGTCCATGCTGCTAGTATTCATTATAAAGATGGTCATCCAAGATAGGAGATACGAATTGGAAACGTCAGAATAAAGCAAGTACAGAAATTTAAAAGTCCGGAAAGTGTTTGAAGAGACAACGGAAAAAGTGACGCAAAAAAAAAACCCAAGTCAGATTAGAACTACAAAAGATGCCCATCAAAAGCTAAACAAAACATTAAGAAACAGGAAAGTTTTCGCAAGAAACAAAGAAACGAATACCAAACTGTTATGAAATATCTATCAATATGACAGTGAATGCTCGACAATTTCCTCACAGATGAAGAAAACACTTAAAGCAACACAGATTTGGTTCTACAGAAAGATGCTGAGAATACCATGGACGGAGCATGTGAACAATGACAATATTTTTTATGAAAATTGAAACAAAATGGTGACTTATACTTAGTATCACAAAGAGAGAGTTGAAATTTCTGGAGCACAAAATGAGAAAAAGGGGCTCGGAGAATCTGACACTCACAAAATACATTGGAGTCTAGAGATCCAAAGGAAAACAGCAAATAACATAGCTAACAAACTCGTATAATTAGATGACAAAACATGGACTGGAATGATAGTAAGATTAGTGCTATGAAAGATAGGATGTTGTGGAGAGCCATATATATCAACAATTTCAAATCAACAATCAACTAATAATTACTTGTCAGATTAGTGAATTACTGATCCATCTTCTTGCTTGTCATTGTGTATATAAAGATATTATGTTACCATTTGTATTCTTCTATGTGTATGTGTTATTATGTGTGCATCCGATATAGTAATATTGTATTTTATGAATGAAAGCCCAAGCGTAGACATGCTTGTACGTGTGATAGAAACCAATAACAAATACGCAGGATGCTGTTTTGTAAGTTATAATATGTTATGTCTTAATGGTTACAACTATAATGATTGAAAGAATAAAAAATCGAGTTTGCTGACCGCTGTCGTCGTTTCATGTGGATGTTTGGAAAAGGCAAAATTTCAAAAGGCCATCTGATTTCTATTTCTCCACGCTCTTTCTCCGTTTTCTCTTCAGTAATTTCAGTATACATCACTACTATTCTTGAGAATAAGGGCGACGGTGAGTAAGTCACCATTTAAGTGCTAGCAACAGTACTAAAACAAGAAACTAAGTAATAAAAAACCGTGTTTTTTACTTAATCTACATGCATCTAGTTTTGAATATGTGCGAGGTGGGGGAGCCGAGAGGGTGCGATAGTGAATTAACACAATTTTGTGATAAAAAAAATATAACGTACGTACCATTGACTTCATTTCTAGCAAAATTAAGTAACGTATTGTTGACGTGAAGTTATTTGCTTCGAAATCGTATTTTTAAAATACACTAAAAGGTTTTAACAAAAAGTTGTAATCATTCAAATGGGATTTTTAATGAATGTGTCATTGATTCAGACTGCGTCGTGAAGTCGTAAATTCGATCTGAGACTAAAGAAATTGGTGAACGTCATTAGACAGTATCCGATGACTTTTCAAATAGAATTTGAGATTGATAGATAGATAGATACTAACTTATACAGATAGATAGATAGATAGATAGATAGATAGATAGATAGATAGATAGATAGATAGATATGAACAGACTAAATAGATTTGAAGAGATTGTAAGGAATTAATAAGATAGGTAGAGAAATATAGAATTAGATAGATAGATAGATAGATAGATAGATAGATAGATAGATAGATAGATAGATAGATAATGAACCGAATTAGATATTGAGAGATATGAACAGACTAAATGAATTTGAAGAGATTTCAAGGAATTGAAGATAGATAGATAGATAGATAGATAGATAGATAGATAGATAGATAGATAGATAGATAGATAGATATGAACCGAATTAGATATTGTGAGATATGAACAGACTAAATAAATTTGAAGAGATTTCAAGGAATTAATATGAAGATAGATAGATAGATAGATAGATAGATAGATAGATAGATAGATAGATAGATAGATTTGAAGAGATTCCAATGCGAACAGATTAAGAAAGAAAGAATGTAAATTAGATATAAACGGAAAGACTAGATAGAAGAAAACTGAGATAGATTTGAAGAGATTGCAGTGAACAGATTGTGATAAATTGATCGATTGATTGATTAATTGATAACTACGAGCATGTATGAGCGCGACTGTCTCATCCAGAATAGAGAAGGAAGCGTTATTTTACATATTCAAAATACGACAGCAGAAAGGGCAGTAGCGATTTAATTTACTTGGCCTAACACTCCTAGAGACGCACAAAGTTGTGTGTTCAGACAAATAACCTCGACTCATGTATGAGGTGCGCATGCGTATATCTGCGTTCACGGACAATAATAGTGACGTGCGACGGAAAACGTCCCGGTAACCAACGCAATTATCGTTATAGGCTACTTGGCACAGTGGCATCTATATGAGTCATGCGGGAGCGAGACTCGATTGAAGTAATGATGTATGAGTTAATGAAACATTGTTCGTGTAGCAAACAAGTTTGTTTTTTGTTCTTCTTTCTAGCCTCCTTTTATTTACGAATCATAAGGGTTAATAGACTTTCGTTTTTAAAATCTCTTTAACAGTTTTTTTTTTTTTATTTCTGAAAAGTATGCGTGTGTGTGTCTGCGTGTTTATGTGTGTACGCTCGGGCACGCGCGCGCGTGTGCCTCCGTGTGTGCGCACGCGCGGGTGCGAGTTTGTATTATCAGTGGAAATCGATAAAAATAGGAAAAATAAAAAAAAAGGGGGGCTGAAAGCACAGAACTGAAGATTGATAGAAAGGGTAAGTGAGAATTAACGTCTGATTACGATTGACTAAAAGACGAAAGAGATTTTAGATACCAGAAAATAATTTAATGTTTTAAATTATGCATATGTAAAGAGCACATACACACAGACGGATAAAAAAGTACGTTAATGAAAGAAAGAATATGTAAAAGTTTAGATAGAGAGAAAGATAGATAGATGCTGATATATATATATATATATAGAGAGAGAGAGAGAGAGTTATCTATCTATATTTAGATAGATATATAGAGATACTGACATATATAGCATATAGATAGATAGATAGATAGATAGATAGATAGATAGATAGATAGAAACAGAATTACATATATAGGTAGATAGATAGATACAGAGAGAGACAGAGAGACAGACAGAAACAGACTTACATAGATAGATAGATAGATAGATAGATAGATAGATAGATAGATAGATAGATAGATAGACTGACTTTGAAATAGATAAATGGTTAGAAAGACTAATTTTGAAAAGGGCAGGCAGATAGAGAGACATATCAATAGATAGATTAATATTGAAATAGGCTGGAAGATAGATATAAACTCGTAACTAAGATAGATAGATAGATAGATAGATAGATAGATAGATAGATATGAACAGACTGGGATAGATAGATAGATAGATAGATAGATAGATAGATAGATAGATCAACCTAATGAAAAGAGGATCAAAACAGAAAACTGTAGTTCAGCAAATTCGGTGAAAAGGATAAGGATTGTCTTCTTCAAAAACAACATTCAAAATCATTATTCAGGTTTTTATTTTTCTGTATTTTACAAATATACATACAAAGAAAACACATGCATATATATATATATATATATATATATATATATATATATATATATATATAGAGAGAGAGAGAGAGAGAGAGAGAGAAAGAAATGAAGAGAGAAAGAGAGTTTACACAAACGTTAATGCACACATTTAGACCTATCGACATTTCGCACCAGATTTAGATTTCGAGAAAGGAAATAAAAATACGTTTTCAAGTATTTTTACTTTTCTTCCCAAAATATGTGGACGCATGTTTTGCATAGATATATATTGGTGTGAACAAACTGAGATAGATAGATAGATAGATAGATAGATAGATAGATAGATAGATAGATAGATAGATAGATAGAATTTAATCAAATAATTTAATCTTTCTGCATGCAAAAACAAGTCAAAAACTTGTTGCCTTTCGCCAAACTGAACTTATGCAGGAGCAAGATTAACGCTATACTCAGTGACGATCAACCTCACTTGCTTTGACTTTGATATGTGTAAATCGCTTGGTTCTACTGTAAAAACCAATATACATGCACACACACATATAAATATATATATATATGTGTGTGTGTGTGCAGACAAGTATTTACGTGAGCATCAAACTGAGATAAGAAATAAGTTTCATCATGAAAACGTGTTTTTGTTTATTTTGTGTGTATTTGAGTATGTGTGTGTGTGCTTGCGTACGTGCGTGCGTGCGTGCGTATTGGTGCTTGTAAGTGGAAATGATTTCACGTTCATGAAAAATATGCACACTAGGAAATATCAGGCGGAATACAGGCGTTCATATCCGTGTCTGCGTGTGTGCGCGGCTGTCCGTCTGCATGTGTGTGTGTTCATACATAACAGTATAATTTCATATGTGTAACTACACACACACACGCACACACACACACACACACACACACACACACACACACACACACACACATATATATATATATATATATATATGGAGGTGCTAAAAAGTTCAGGGGCGAATCCAATTACAAAAATCCATATTTTCAATGATCAAATATCAAAAGTTTGTGTATAAAGGTTAAAGAAACTTGCAAAATTATGAGCCAAGTGTCTTGTATTGTTGTGTGAATATAAAGAATTGCATGTTCGTTTTATAGCTACATATTCTCCATGGTCGGGCCGAGAACCTTTCAACAGTTCATACACAAACACACACACGCATATATATATATAGAGAGAGATAGATAGATAGATAGATAGATAGATAGATAGATAGATAGATAGATAGATAGATAGATGAGAGTAGAAAACCGGGTAGATATGATTACATATCACAAAAAAAAAGCCCCATCATAAGACTGTTAAATAAAGGAAGGATGTTGGATCCTGGGACCGAGATGAAAACCATTAAGAAAGAAAGAAAGAAAGAAATAAAGAAAACAATTTATTTTGAAGAACAAAATCATGAAACCAATTTCAAGAAAAGAATTAAGGAATGGGATAGAAACATAGTTAAAAGAAAAGTGAATAAAAATCATAATTGGAAAGAAAGAAATTAGGAACTGGTAAAAAAAAATTAGAAGGAAAAATGAAAGAAAGAGTGATACAAGAGAAATACAGAAGAATGGTAAAGAACGATTAGTAAATGAATGAAATACAAGAAAGAAGAAAACAAGGAAGCTCCATAGAATCAGGAAAACCAGAATTAAACAAACACAACGCATTATTTTTGTTTTCTTTTGTTGTTGTTGTTTTTGTTATTGCTTAATATGATTTGGTATTGAGGGAGTTGCGGATGATAACAACACTGTAAATAATAATAATAATAATAATAATAATAATAATAATAAACACATTTTTTAAAGTGCTCAAAATTAAAAACCAAACTAACCACATCTTGAGTCCGGTAGCATCGCACAGCCGTGACAGGATGAGTAAATTTGAAAGGGAAAAAAACGTAAATGCCCATTAAGACGTGTCCTTGCCTGTACATCCCACCACGTCTTGTTAAAGGAAAAAGTGAAAAATCCACTCATCCACGCTAAGCGTACAGAAAACCATGCCACTCCGGCTATCCCACTCTCCTTTTACAAAGCCGGGACAGGAGAACGGGTGACGAGAGAGTGCTTCAACATCAGCAGCAGCAGCTGTTAACGACTGCAGGAACGGCAGAAGCATTATTATTGGTAATGGTGATGTTGGTGATGGTGATGATAGTATTAGTAATAATAGTAGTAGTAGATTTTCTTACAAGTAATAGTCGTCGTCGTAGTTACAGAATTATAAAAGTGAAAGTAGTGGTAGTAGCAATAGCAACGTACGAGACAGTAGAAGTCTGGTAGTTGTAATAATTATGATCTAGTGGTTAAGAGGTCATATGATCGGTGACACACACACGCAAAAAAAGAGTTTTCTTTTACTCCATAACATCTGCTTTTTAATTATTTTTTCTATTTTTATTATTTATTAGACATAGGATTTTCTTTTTTAATGTTTGCCAATTCTTATTTATGAGAAGCTAAGTGGCGGTTTCTTGCTTGCGTTTGCTAAGGCGCGCACGTGCGCGTGTATTTGCGTGAGGAAAGAGAGAAAAAAACTAAAAGAAAGAGAGAGAGAGAGAAGTGTAACAGCGCATTTTCCGACACTTTGGAAAGCTTCTAAGCCAATAAGTTTTTTTCTGTTTTCTTTTTCCTTTATTTTTTTTTCTGTTTAAAAAAAGAAAAATGTGTAATATTATTTACTAAGAAACTTTCCAAAATAAGTTACAGTTTCAAAATAGAGGAATAAAACCGGTCAACGAATATAATTAAATATATATTTTTTTTTTTTCATATTTCAATTCCGTTATTTAAAAGAGCGATTCTCTAAAATTTACTCTTATGCTACAACAGTCGACCGATACAAACATTTGGAGTTTTGCGCCTAGACATGTTTCTATTGCGTGTCTGCTTGCGTCAATGTGCGTGTACATGACGCATTAATATCACCTACCTGGTCGGTGAAGTTGTTTGCACTGGCGACATTGGCTGGTACTCGAGCGCAGGTATTTGAAACCTTATAAGTGTGCTGTGTGCCCTAAGGACGTAATGGCTCTCTACAACCTATCTTTTCTAGCTCTTAATAAAATGTGTTTTTTTGCAATCACTCTCACCCACCGTGCCGACATCCATTTGCACAAGCTCGCCAGTTAGGTGGCCCGCTGCCTCCTCGTCTTCCTTTTATCTTCAAGTATGAGGATAAATTGCAGCAAAGCTTCTGATCAGGAGGTTTTGAGGAGTGTGTAACCACCTCCTAATTGCCGTTCTTCCCAAGTCTACCCTAACCCAAATCTACCCTAACCAAAATCTACCCTAACTTATGAGCAAACTGGGGTCAAAACACTATGAAATTACAAAAATGGATTTTTATACTAAAAATATCAGGAATACATTTTTGACAAAATATATTACCAGCAATACATTTGACTCTCGACAAGAACGCTCTCTACAAAAATACGCCATTGAAATCTGATCTACAAACTGATTTCTTACGAAGAATACATATTCTATTCATACGAACCTATCCTAAAAATTGTGTCGGCATTAAATAACTCACTGAAGTTGGTATACAATAAAACAAACCAATTTTATCTTCATTATCTCATGTGAGTGTCAAATTCTACAAGCATCCCTTCCTCATTATATTATTATTATCCAAGATATTTCAGCCATCTCTTTCTGATTTTGAGCATTAGAGTTCTTTTTGTTTCAATTTTTTCTTACTGACTCATGGTATTTTGTCTTGTAGAAGCACATCACTGTTGCTTCAAGTGACATTTTTCATCTACGAGGTACTTTTTCAGCACTCACTGCCATACAAGTGGATTGTTATTATATAACACTAAATCATTCTTTTCTTTGTTTCTAGCGAAATATTCTCTGAAATATAGTACTTTGCTTAGTTTTTGAAAAGTATCTTTTGCAATTCCAATGCACGTCCGGATTTCAGTGTAACAATTTACATCTTCTTTTTAAACCTCTTCCCAGATACTGAAACTTCTGTACTTGCTTGATTTTGCTATCTCCATTTTGTAGTTCGCATCTTGGGTTTTTTCTTTTGTTGCCAAACATACATTTTGTCAACTTACGAATGATGGTTAGTCATTTCTTTAAGCTTTCCTTTACTACATTGTATACGAGGTCCTATAGTTTTCCTTCTCTGTCTCTCACGAACACAGTGTCATTGTAGTAACTTATATTGTCAAGATTACGCAAACCGATAATAAATACTGATAGTATTTCCAGATCACTTCTTTTTTATATACCATATGCCTTCAAGACGTAAGCGATCGACATCTTCCTGTCCCTTTTAGCGCTTAATAAATTGTGTCTTTTTGTTATTTCTCCCAAACCCTGTTCTGCCAACCATTTGCCCAAGCTCATCAAGTATATTACGCGCTTCTTTCCTCTGTCCGTCTTTCCCTCAATATATCCCGTGAATATCAAGGACTCCTTCCTCATTACGCGCCGGAGAAATTTCAACTCTCTCTTCTTGGTGTTAAGTATATGTTTAATTTTTCTTTCCATTCTCTCGAAAACCTCGTTGTTGCTCACATATTCGACCCATGGAATCTTCAGCATCTTTCTATAGTACCACATTTCTGTTGCTTCAAGTCTCTTCCTCATCTTTGAGGAGATTGTTCAGCATTCGCTACCATACAGGAAGAAAGATATCATATAGCAGTTCATTACTCCTTTCTTTATTTCCAATGAAATTATTCACTCTCTTAATAATAAGATGATTTTGATTTTGGAATGCATCTTTGCCCATCCGAATATGTCTTTGGATCTCATTGTTAAAGTCTCCGTCCTCTGTTAGAGCATTTCCCAGATATTCAAATTTCTGTAGCTGATAGATTTTAGTATCCCAGGCCTGAAATTTTCATTTTGAGTTCATCTCTTTGCTGATAAACATTTATTCTGTCTTCTTGTAGTTTATGCTTAGTCCTTTCTTTTCGCTTTCCTTTCCTACCTACTGAAGGAGGATTTGTTTCCGCATCAGCCACTTTGTCACCTGCATATCTTATATTGTTAAGATTGTGGACGCCAACAATGAATCCTCGTAGGACTTCTAATGCTGTCATTATTTCCACGCTGTACAGGTCCCTTACAGGTTGAATAAATACGATGAGACGACACATCCTTGTCTTTTGCCCCTTTCACTGACTTCAAAAGATAATCTTTCCTCTACCTGTACGTGAACTGGCTTGACTAGTTTTATTAATATGCGGTGAAACAGGGTATTTAATCAGAATTACATTTTAAATCACCTCTCTCTCTCTCTCTCTCTTTCTATATATATATATATATATATATATATATATATATATATATATATATATATATATATATATATATATATATATATATATATATATATATATATATATAGCGCTGACGGCTTAGGGATAGGATCTCTGACTGATGCCAAATTGCTCAAGTTTCGATCCCGGCTTGAAGCAATCGGACGTCTAGCCAAACTGAAGCGCTGTGATAGTCTGTCTGTGGATGACTATATATATATATATATATATATATATATATATATATATATGTAGATATTTAGGCTGCATATCCTTTTCCGAGCAAATACCTTTCGATCTCATCCGAAATCATCCTCAGAAGTGAATTACAAAGACAAACTTATTGTAACTCTGATCGTTGTGATGGGGATTTTTAAAAATACGCGCGAACGCGATCTGTTATAATTATTTATGAATTTTAAATTTAGCCGTTGTATCCGGAATTTTTTGCAAAACAAGCGTCCGTATATACGAAAACTAAGCAGAAATTGGTACAAATGCAAAATGGAAGTAAATATTAGTTACATATACTTCAACAAGTTGATGCCATACTCGTAATAAATTTTGTTGAGTGTATAAATTTTGTATACATACATATATATATATATATATATATATATATATTTATGTGTGTGTGTGTGTGTGTGTGTGTGTGTGTATAGTTGTATATTTCGGCATCAATCCTTCTTTTATCCTTCTTTTATGCGTGTATCATTAAAAACGACAGACAAGCTACTACGGTTGAGCTTTTTATTTAATTTTTCTTGTGTTCGAACAAGAGCTTTCTTTTCTGGACAAATGGTGTGTAAGAACTGTCCAAATGTTTTATATTTCCGAGCGCTTTCGGCTATACCTTTAGCCATTATCAAGGATGATTCGATGTTTCAGCTTAATTGAGTGTATACATTATGTGTATGTCTTAGTGTGTGGTAGGGATGTTTTTAATTTCCGAATACGGTTAGCACATTGTGGCTTTGTTCGTAGTTAATATTGTTAAGAGTTGGCTTTTTCTTTTTTATTATTAAAGCTTCCATTATTTTTAGTCTTTTTTCGCAGGTGGATGCAGTTAATATATTTGTGTTTTCTACTAGTATGTTTCTAATGGAGTCTGGTAAATTTGTGTTGTGTTTAAATGGGTTCTAATAGAGCTGTGATCAGATAGGTGTAACGTAAGACGTCTGGATAAGCATGTAGTTGTGTAACCGATGTAATTACTTATGAGTCCGGTTTGATCAGGAACACAGTTCCTTAAGGGGCATTTGAACTCATAGATAATGTTTGTTGGTTGTAATTTTGACTTAGCTGGTGTGTTGTTATTTTTGAGGATAAGGTTAGCTGTCTTGAATTTTTTATAAAAGATAATTAATTTAATTGCCTTAGAGAAGATTCGTCTTGTTTGTAATTAATATGCATTTGGTTTTTGTAATAAATGTGTATGTGATTTTTGGCTGTGTGTTCACTATCGTTATTACTTACTTTGGTGGTTAGGGAAACCGTTGTTGATTAGTGTTTGTTTAACATTATTAAGTTCTTTGAGGAAGAGTAGTCGAGAGGATGAATTCTGGTGTGTTCTATTTAGAAAGTTTTTTTATTACTGCTATTTTGTACCTAAATGGGCAGTCGCATTTGAAGTTAAGGTGGCACGAGTTTTT